AGAGAGGGAGGGAGGGAGGGAGGCAGGGCAGAGGGAGCGCGGCTCTATCGCCAGCCCGATCGCGACTATCAGATCCGCTCCGCTGAACTCCCGGCGCACTTTTAGCGGGGCCGGGGCTGGCGCGGGGGTGTCAGCGCGGCCCCCCCGCTGCCCACGGCGGCTCGGGGCGTCCCTGCCCCGGCATCTGGTTCCCATTTGCCCCTCGCCCCAGCCCCCTCCAATGCGCGCTGCCGGGGGCGCCGGACCCGCGTGTGTCCCGTGTGTCCCCCCCGCCGCCAGCGGCGATTTTGGGGCGCTTCTCTGCGGGAAATGCTCCGGAGMRGGRACCCCCYCCTTYCCAAAAGAACACCCCGGGATGGGGGATAAGGAGAGGCGGCCGTACCTGGGCGCTGCGGGGCATCCCGGGCCCCCCGCATCCCCCCCTGCRGCCGGGGACATCAAGCCCGGCTCCGCAAAAGGGGCGATAAACGGCAAGGGGGGGTCGGAGAGGGGCAGCCCCCGAGCCCTGGGCTTCCCGGCGTGCAAAATAATAATAATAATAATAAAAACCTGCTCCAGAAATGGCGACGGGCTGGGAGGAGGGAGGTCGGAGCTGAGCTGGGGGGGAGGAAAGGGGGGAAAAAAGTCCGGAGCGACTTGGGAGCCTGCGARCCGCGAGCAACAGCCGAGCCCGGGCGGGCACGGGCAGAGCGGGGGATCCGCGCCCGCGGAGGGCGGCAGCGCGGACACCTCCCCCAAAAAAATGTGGAAAAAAATATGAAGAAAATAATTAAGGGAAAAGGAAAATCCGTGTTCAAAGCAGAAGAAGCGGCGGCCGCCGCCCCCGAAGTTGCCACTCACCGCCGAGCCGGAGCTCGCTGCGCGCCCGCGGCCCCGCCGCTCCCCGCCGCCGGCAGCGCGCAGGCTGCACCCGCTCCCCCCGCCGGCCTTCCTCCTCCTCCTCCTCGCCTTCCTCCTCCTCCTCCTCTCCTCCCCGGCGGTGCAACCGCATCGGAGAGCATCGGGAAAGAGGGGGGTAAAGGGGAGGGGGGGGCTGCGAGGGAAGGAGCCCACTGCGATCCGCGCCTCCCTCCTCTCCCTCCCTCCCCTGGTTATTTATTTTATTTATTTTAAATACAAAA